TGGCATCTATTGTATGACTGTTATCAGATAAGGGAATGGAATTGAAGACCTACAATGTACCACCCCATTGATCGAAAATAGTAAATCGAGCAATGTTATGTTATAGTATTATTTCAACGCCTTGTAATGAGGATGTCGTTACGAACATTTTTAACTGAGCAAACCCAACTTATTTTGCAGTGTTCTACCTATCCTAGCAACGGGCCACTTTTTTCAAAACACCCTGTATAGTTTCTCCTTTTTTTTTTTAGAGCATGATTCAATTACCTGAAACCGGAAAGATATATTCCTTGATAACAATCAGTGGAAACACTGTAGGAAACAGATATATCTGACAGGTTTATGAATAACGATAACGAAGTAGAAAATAGAAACTTTCGTTTTCAAAACTGACTGAACATGAAAATAGTAAATTGGGTATCAAAATTGAATACAATCATTGAAATCATTTATATCCATAGTCATGAGCTTCATTTTTATTGTTAAATCATACCTATTCACGGAATTGAAAAGATTTTATTTGAGAACTGCAGCAGAGTGAAGAGAAGTTTTTAGGATTTTGTGAAATTGAAATTGTTGAAAAAAGAAGAAGTGATAATGACTATGAGGCCTTTGAGGGATTAAAATAATCATTATCCAACACTTGTCTCAACTTTCCATTGACATTCTAAGAATTCGAAACTACTTATCAACCAAACCTTCCTAGTTAATGGGTTTTTGTGGTAAAATCTATCTTCATGTAAATAGACTAGGTAATGTAATACACTCCCTTCGATTACCTGTGTTTCCAGTTCTCAGAAATATAATAATTGAATGTCTCCTTAAACAATTTTTCTAATAAAACATTAACAAGAATTGTTTTGAGTAAGATTTACTTTGATTATCATTTGTGGAAGAGAAACTGATGCATATATACAGTCGTATGTACGAGGGGGTCACCACTAGTAAAAAAGAGTTCCGAATATTTCCGCACTTCATGCATTTTGTAAGCATTTCATCCATTTCGTAAGTATCTCATCCATTTCGGAAGCATCTCATGTATTCCATCCATTTCGAAATGCATTTAATCCATTTCCATACGTGATTGCGGTATGTATCTGAAGCATTTTATTCTGACATTTCATTACATTTCAAGGCATTCAAATGCATTCCAAGCCATTTTGTGACATTTCACTACAATAGCATTTCAAACCATTTTCTGATATTTCAAGCATTTTAATTCATTTCATAACTTTGAAGGTATTTCGAAACATTCCAAGCATTTCAGAACATTTCCTACGATTTCCTTATAGCATTTCATTTTATTTCATGTCATTCCAAAATGTCTCAAGGCATTTCAAGGTATTTCATGGCATTTCAAGGAATTTTCTGGCATTTCGAAGGATTTCAAAGTATTTCAAGTATTTCGAGGATTTCAAGGCATTTCATGGTATTTCAGAAATATCATTTCATTTTAATTCATGTCCTTTCAAAATATTTCAAAGCATTTCAAGGCATTTCGTGGCATTTCAAGGTATTTCATGGCATTTCAAGAAATTTTGAAGCATTCCTCGGATTTCAAGGCATTTCATTGTATTTGAGAAATGGCATTTCAGGACCATTTCCTCGCATTTCCTTAGTGGTAACCCCCTCGGGTATGTATCAGGCAAGTGGAATAATTTCGATGAATAAACGGGGGCGGGTCTGAAAAATCTTTCGGGCACATCGATTAATATTTTTAGAAGCGTATTCTTTCCAACAAAAACTTTCTATACATAGCCTGTCATGTATCGGCGGCTAATACCAACTTTCATATTTCAAATGCAACACCCTATATGTTATGTCTTGGAATGAGCGAATTTGACGAGATTTAGCTTTGTATCCACTTCTAAACGATATGAGTTTTTCTACTCGCTGAATGAATGAACATTATTATGCATAATATTGCAGGTTTCAGGGTTCGTTTTCTTCCTAGTTGAAGGTAATCAATACATGGGTCAACCTCAAACAATTAAATGCTGGTTTTGGGATGCCTGGGGACAACGTTATATTTATTTGTAATCGATTTCTCTTGCTAGCCTCTATTGTGAAAAATAGCTCATCAATAAATTCGATTCACTAGAAACAATTCAGAAAGGAGACCTAATTTGACAAACCGTTTCCCAGAATGTTTATTGTTTACTTTAATTACTATTTCCACAGACTGTAGAAGATATACGCTGACTCAGATCTATGCTTTGAAATCGATTCGTAACATTTTATTGAAGTGGTCGGAAGTTCACTAATTTACTCGAAAACCCACATATCCAATAGTACCAGCTAAGCAGCTGAACAGTACAGTCATAAATATCATAAACAACTTGTTGATTTTCTGGAAAATCTCCATGATATGGAACAGGATGATTCATGTTAATGTACGCAGAAATGACTGAAATCGGGCAGCTATCTAGGAGCTGATGAGTGTAAATTTGTTTTCTAAAACATGTAGATAAGTTTAGGCGTATCAGTTTTGTAGCCGTACACGTACACCTCGTTATTAGAGAGGGTGTTTTTTTGGCAGAGCCGAACACAGTTGAAACATCGAATTGTCTGAAACAACGACAACAGCTGGTTGTGAGTGCAGGCGCGTGCCTGAGGGGGGGGTAATGGGGTAATTACCCCCCCCCATGACCACGATGATGATGAAAAAATTTGAACATTCCTTATTTTCAAACTTAAAAAATGATGATGATGAAGACACAACGATGGGCTTTCACACCTGTCTTCTAGTCTTCAGGCTTCTAGTCACAACATTAAATTATAAATTTCGCAATCAGGGTGGCGCATTATGGAGTTGAGTGTTGAGTGAACTGGGTTTTTATTTGTTATTGTTCGCCGACACAACGACGGCCGAATTCACGAAGCAGGTGCTTATGTAAATACATTATATACTTGAAATGAAATAGTCGGGAATACGCCGAAATAAGTTCGTCGTTCATTGTGTTTTGTTGGCTATGCTAGGGTGCATAATTTTTATCTATTCTTATATGGAATATATTCGAGTTATTGTTTTCGTTTCGAAGAATATTTATTCTGTTATTTATTTTTAGTTATACATTTTTTTATTTTTGAGTTATTGTTTTCATTTTGAAATATATTCTGTTTATTTATTTTTACACTCTCTCATATTCGAGCTATTGTTTTAAAGAACATTTTGTTAATTTTCTTTAAGAATTAAATATGAATGCCTTAGTGTTACTGAAGTTTAACTTTTTAAAACGTAGGAAATATTGGTCCTGAAATGGGTGATTACCCCCCCCATGAAATAACCCTAGGCACGCGCCTGTGTGAGTGAAGTATGATAATGTACGCAGAATTGACTTCAGAACTTTGACTGAAATCGGAGCTGATGGGTAAATCTGTTCTCTAAAAAATGTAGATAAGTTTAGGCACAGTTGTTTATGCGTATCGGTTTTGTAGCCGTACACGTACACCGCGCAATTAGAGAGAGGGTAGATTTTTGACAGAGCCCGAAGCCAGCGAAGCCACAGGTTCCTTTTAAAAAATATGTGGCAAACAAATCCAAAATGGGATAGTTATCTAGCTTACAATCAATACTAACACTTTGCCTCACGAAATCGTCATAATATATGCTTTTGATAGAAATACATAATATTTCGTATTTCGACAAATCGTCCCGTATTTTTACTGTTTGAAACGTTGAGCAAAAAATTCGAAAACAGGGTAATTAATTGGCCTTAAATTAGCCATATAATCTCAATATATCAAATCGGCGAAAAATCAATGTTTTCAAAAATGGCTCTGCTGCTGAGTTCGGCCCAAGCTTGCAAAGCCACAGATTCTCCTATGATAAAGAGGAGCAAGAAAATTGTGAAAAGGTTAGTAAATTAGCCCAAAATGAGCAACTACATTTTCACTATATCAGATCATCATATGATAGAGAGGAGCCAAAAAATTCGGGAATGGGGTACTAAATTAGCCTAAAATGAGCCTGAAATTATGAGATGTGTCTCATGTTGAAAAACTAAAGTGGCTTTGCTAGCTTCCTTAGTATGAAGAAAGTGAAGTTTGAATTGAAATGAAGGTATAAGGATTATCATGCGAACCCGATATAGAGATGCTTTCGCAGAAACTCGATAGAGAATAAATATTGATTCAAATTTCAAGATACGTCAATGAATAACGATAAAAGTATATAATATGTTCACAAGTGGGAAATACCCCCAGATAGGAATAAATGTAACATAATTATTTCGACATTCATTATATAGCTACTGAGTACCCAACGAAATTAATCAACTTGTAATCAATGCTTAGCATGCTATAATCATTGCATTTCGTATATCACCTCAATAATTTCATCATCCTTCCTTACTAACATGAATCACCAGTTGATACATCATAAAAATAATGACTATCGATAGAAATCAAAATATCAAGGAAGCGTTAGAGTACATCACTATACAATATTATGTATGTATGTACCTAAATTCGGGAATATGTGTTTTTATTCATTGATGGAGTATATTATTAATCACAGATAAGGCATTGTTTCAGACCGCAAAAATATCAATAAATAATAAAACCGGTTTATGAGTCCCCAATGTATATGTATATCCACAAGTGGGGTTCATAGATTGTATGAAAAAAATGTAAATTCGAGGCATCCGGCTAGGAATAGGTGAATAGCTACTTATGTACCTTGTTAGGCAACAAGTATTATTACCTTACGCTATAGACTACTAGCGGCTTAAAATGTTCCTTACCTAGCTCTTGTAAAATATTAGGTCTTTTGGTACAGCGCTATGACTTGGGCCGTTGTTCATCAGTCACTATTCATAAAATAGTATATCTTAAAAACTTGAGTACCTATTTTAAAAACATTTATTCCCCGATAAGTGGCGTATTTAGGAGTATCTGCCTGTGGACTGACTCATGAAAAAATGATTAATGAAATCTCTAGTCCCATCATTTAATATATTATATGTTTATGTTTCTACTATATTCCATTTGGTTTTCAGCGGTCTGAATTTCCAAGATCTGATGGTGAGGCAAGGAGCTATCGATTCCCCACCAAAATGTCCTTTTATTCTCGGATTTGAATGTGCAGGAGAGATTGAACAACTTGGAGAGGGGGTAGAAGATTTCGCGGTAAGTGGTAATATCAGTGGTATCTTCAGGTGAATCGGCGAAGGAAATAATTTTTATTTACAACCATATACCGGGTGTAACAGCATCATGGTACACCCCCCGTATCTCCGTTAGTTCCAGAGGTAATTGATTGAAATTTGGGATATCCCATATACATAATAAGAGGCACTTTTTGACCTACAGATGATTTTCATTTCAATTCCGGCTTCGCCGGAAGTGATACCAACTTTCGATTTTCTAATGGAACACCCAGTATATTATTACATTTCTGAAATCTGCATAATTTTCTGAATCCAATGATACCACATTAGTGACATTTCAAACGTAAAAATGTTTAATATTTTAATTTTCAGTTTTCCATTTAAGTGTGCCTTGACGGTTCCGATTTATTCCAATTGACCCGTCTAATGCTAGAAGAATCGAAATCCCGTCAAAAATACGAAATTGCGTTTTTTATTAGCGAATAAAGTTCATCGTAATCGATTTTGAGGTGAAACTCAATTTCTTCAAATGGAACCATATTGGTACCGTGGTACCATTTATTAGTACTATTGATAAGCAATTTATCCATACCTGCTAATAAAATGTGCGATAAATACAATCAAAATCACAGCTAAAAGAAAATAAGAAAATACAATTATTTTATTCTAATTTAATGCTAAGAAGTTACTAAGGTGAGAAACAAGTTGAGAAAATATAAACATACTGAAGTAGCAAGCTTTCGACGGTCGATAAAATTAAGAGATTCTGTGTTACTGGGAAGGTGGGTATTCCGTGTCTTAGTGATTCTGAATAAAAAAATATAACATAAACTTCATTTTCATATAATATTGATACCCTTGTTTGGAAATTATATTATCATCCGTTTTCGATAAAAACGCAATTGAACAGTTCAAAGTCTCGGAAGGAGATTTCAGGTATTATTTCATAAGTGTGCCTCGTACTGTCAGATGATTGTTGCTGGTGAATTACATTTCTTGTCAGTGAATAAATTCTGGTGCGAGTTTATAGTCAATTCTTTTTCGATTGAAACTTCCTCTATCTTTTACCACAGCGATTTTTTATTGAGGCATATTTTGGGCCAAACAATCCGCCCCTTAGCCCATGTCCTAATAGTTATGATTCACTCTGTATATGTTCAGTTTGTTAAGTCCAGGAAAAAAAAGGAATTTCGTTTTTGGGGATAGGGTATTGTGTATGTATTTTAAAACAAAATATCCGTATCCATAGTTATAAATCAAAATATCTAGATAAAAAAAATTAAACGCAATTTATTAGGTTGGGTTTGAATAATCAACTATGGATCGCGAGTATCAACTTTGATACTGGATCAAAAGAATGCATTGTGATATCAATATAATACGAACCAAAATCCACCAATTTCTGCTATTGGATCGGTATTCAGAGTACTGTAACGGCATTTTTTGTTGACATAATGATATCGAATATATGTTTTTCAGTGGATTGGTATTCCCACTTCAATTTCAATCATTCAAATGGTTTTTGTCCCTATTTGTACCAATTAATTGGCAACAAATATTCTCATGAAATATTTATGTACTGCTAACAAGAACAAATCGATCGAGAATTTCTCACTCGAATTGAGCGTGAGTCCAAAAAAACAAATACTGCATTGATCTCATCTTGTAATAATGATTTCAATCAAGTTTTAAATTACCTCACGTCCACGAGAGCATGTAAAAAACTCCACAAACTAGTTCAGCATTGATGGAGCATGATTCATGAAGTTGCCAACGCCATTATTGTGAGTGCAATAATAATTGTTGGATGAAGATATGTTATGTGGTGAATATGAGTTATCAAAAATGATCTACTTTGGTCAGAGATCCAAAAGAGACATCGCAACCTGAAATTCTGGTTGCAGGTAGGTATAGTTCGATGCGGTCTATTTTTCAGAAATATTTTCAATACGCTGTCATTTCGGTTGAACCGGAAATGACATCAACTTTGTTTTTCAAATCTGACAACCTTCATATGAATCGTTTTTTGACAACCTTTATATCATCAAATTTTTGAATTCTACTAAAAATTCATGAATTTCATTTTTAATCGTTTTTCTATCCTCATTTGTTTTTTTAATATTAATTGACAATTGGTTTTAAAATACTTACAGTTGATTATAATGATAAAAAGTGCATTCTTGGTCGATTATACTCGTCTGGCAAAGAGATATTCTCAGAGGTATATAATACTGACACAGACGTTTTGGCACAATCAAGTGAAAATCATCTAGTATTTAATAATTAACTATTTTTTACCACCAACCCGAATTTTTTAACTCAAGCGGATAGCGAAAAAATGGTGTTGGGCCAGCTAAACCTCAAGCTAGCACAACCGTTTCACAATCTTCCACCCAAATAAGTTATGCACATGATTCAGATGCTAGAATTTTTAATTTTTCAATAACTTTCGAATGGTGTATCGATAATTTGAATTTGAGTCAGGGGCGGATCCAGAACGTCTCTAAGGGGGGGGGGGCAATTAGCCAGAGTTGAAGTTTGAAGTGAAACGTAAATTGCAAGGAACAAATTTTTATTGCATCAGAATACGTTTATATATACACTGAAAATTCCATCCTATGTCTAGATTTTGCGAAACGATTTATAATTTGGTCTACACTTATGTCCATATCCACATGAACATGAAGCAAGGCTAACCCTAACAGTCTTTCTTGGCACATTCTATTTCTGAGCCAAGTCTTGAGACGTTTTAAGGCAGAAAATGAGCGTTCAGATGAAGCAACACTAACAGGAATGGACAGTAGTATTTGTAATAGTATGTTACAATTTAGAAATATGTCTTTATCGCATAATTTATAAATGTTTAATATTGCATTTTGATTTTCTTGTACTTGTCCATGTCGAGATAATTTTGCTTTCCAAAATAAAACTTCACTTTTAAAAATAGCTTCAGAGTTTACTGCTACTGCACAAAATATCAGTGCATAAAATATGTTCATATCGCCTTTGGAGACAAATGGTAGTAGATACTTGAAAATAGGGCCCCAGGAAAGTTTAGAATGAGCTGCGAACTATTGACCGGAAACTGTGAAGTTGTCGTGGCTGGGATCAATCTCCTCAAGCTCTCAAGGGGGGGGGGCAATTGCCCCCATTGCCCCCCCCCCTGGATCCGCCACTGATTTGAGTAGATTTGAATGTTTTAAAAAGGAACAAATATGCATCAATGAAAGCACTCGTTAGTCACCATATTGCTATTTTCTGTCCTTATATACATTTTCCTTTGAATATTTCCCATCACAACTACTATTTTTGGACAATATATAATCAATTATCATAATCTGTTGATTGTTGCTAAAACAATACGATTGAGAATTACATGAAAAAATTTGCATGCATTTTAGTATTGAATGCATATTTGTTCCTTTTGAAAACATTCAAATTTGCTCAAATTCAAAGTATCGATACACCATTCAAAAGTTATTAAAAGTTGAAAATTTCAGCGTTTGAATCATGTCCTGAACTTATTTGGGATGGGAAATTGTGAAACGGTTGTGCTAGCTTGAGGTTAAGCTGGCACAACACCATTTTTTCGCTAACCGTTTGAGTTAAAAAATTCGGGTTGGTGATAAAAAATAGTTAATTAATAGTTATTAAATACTAGATGATTTTCATTTGATTGTGCCGAAACGGCTGTGTCAGTTATATACAGGGTGTAAATTTGAAAACTTCCAATGCGAATATCTCGCGAAAGAAAAAAGTTAGAAAAACGCCGTTTGGCAAAAATGCTAAAGAGTTAAGGGGAACTAGAACCATCATATTTCGGTCAAGGGATGAGTCACCCCGTCGGCGCGACACACCCCAACTTTGAAATGTCAAATGGCACTACCTTTTTTGTGATGCCTCAAATGAACAGTCTCAGTCAGTAGTATTCACATGTACAAGACTTTTTTTCCACCCACTACAGGGTGTACGAAAAATGTAAAGTCGAATAAAATAAAATGAATTGTGTTAAAAGGATATTTAATTTGATCGATCAGATGTTCAAAATGCATTCCATTCTGTTGTAAGCAATAGTATAATCGATGTTCAAATGCCATTCTAACATTTTGGAACACATCTCTTGGAATATATCGGCATTCTGCATTTTATTCTTTTCGACTTTATGTTTTCCGTTCACCCTGTAGTGGGTGGAAAATAAGTCTTGTACAGGTGAATACTACTGACTGAGACCGTTCATTTGAGGGATCACAAAAGAGGTAGTGCCATTTGACATTTCAAAGATATAGTGTGTCGCGCCGACGGGGTGACTCATCCCTTTACTGAAGTATGGTGGTTCTAGTTCCCCCCTAACTCTGTAGCACTTGTGCCAAACGGCGTTTTCCTAACTGTTTTATTTAGCGAGATATTCGCATTGAAAGTTTTCAAATTTAGACCCTCGAATTAATGTTTTTCGTACACCCTGTAGTGGGTGGAAAAAAAGTCTTGTACAGGTGAATACTACTGACTGAGACCGTTCATTTGAGGTATCACAAAAGAGGTAGTGCCATTTGACATTTCAAAGTTGGGGTGTGTTGCGCTGACATGGTGACTCATCCCTTCACTGAAATATGGTGGTTCTAGTTCCCCTTAACTCTTTAGCGTTTTTGCCAAGCGGCGTTTTTCTAACTTTTTTATTTCGCGAGATATTCGCATTGAAAGTTTTCAAATTTACACCCTGTATACCTTATTCTCAGTGGAAAACCATCTATTGAAGTGAATACGCATACAAATTCGTAGGTATCTAATAGTAAGAAAGCGACGTAAGCGACGTTGCCATTATACCTACTTGTGTGTAGCTCGTCTGGCAAACATGTGAATAAGCGTACGCTATACAAGTTTTTGCAGTGTTGTTTGTTTTTCAGATACTCGTGAACCCTTGGGCGTATTCATTTTGATAAATGGTTTTCCAGTGAGATTTCTTTTGCCGAACGTGTATATACAGTGTTCGTGATTTCAACCCGCAACACTCTCCTAATTTGGAACCCGTCAACCGATTTTCAAAAACAAAAATTCCATAATATAGTACTCAACGAGCTTTATTCGAAAATGTGGACAAATCTGAGATATTCAGATTTTCAAAGGGTCGAAATTTCAAAAACGACTATTAGGCAATTTTTCTCGATTCAGGCATAGCTGAAATACCTCCATACGAAATTTGAACGCAAAATCTCATATTGGCTGTTAGCTATTGAATGGCAAACTTTGATATTTTTGATGTTTCGATTTACATATCGAACATGGGTGCCCAAAATAAAAAGTTGTCTTAGAATAAGTCAGTAGAATTTTGGCTCAAGAAAATATGGTTCACATATCTGAGTATAACCAAGAAAGAATGTTGAATATCGAAGAAAGTCAACATACACCCTATTTCTGAATTTTATGGAAAAGTGAAAGTAATTGAAAAAACTTCTTTTTTGTGTCATGTGTAATGCGTACTATAAATATTGGATCAATCTCACTAAAGAAGTATATTTATACACATGCACGTATCAATACTGTTTACTATTTTCTTACCATGTGAATATTAACGAGCTTATTTTAGGCAAGAGAAATAAATGAGATGAATATTTTGGTCTGAAATCTGTTCAATCTCACAAAGAAATCTCTGAAAGTTTGGTTTCTCAAAGAAATTAGTTTTTTCGTCACCAGCTATAGAACCTACCATTATGCTTACTAGCTCACTACTTTTAAAGGTGTAGAGTGTCGAATCTAGTAGGTATTCATCAACAACGACTTGTCATATGCTGTCATTTTAATTGAGCTCACAATCAATACTAACACTTCGCCCTATAAAATCGTCATAAAATATGCTTTTGATAACGAACAGCGAGGCTCTGGAACACATTGCCAAGGGAGGTGTTCCCCGAGGCATATAACCTCCAGAAATTTAAGAAGAACACCAATTCCTACCTCATTTGCCTTGGTTCTCACGATGTTCTCTGAACATTACAGGATATCCCTTTTCGTGGGAACCAGAACATTAAAAAAATGCATGGTGTAATGTGAATAACGCATATATCGACGAATCGTTTCGTGTTTTCCTTGTTCGAAACGTTGAGCAAAAAATTCGAAAATATGATAATTAATTAGCCTAAAATTAGCCTTTCAATATCGATATATCGAATCAGTGAAAAATATTATTTTCAAAAATGGCTCTGCTGAGTTCGCCCGAAGCCAGCAAAGCCACAGGTTTCTTTTAAAAAATATGCAGCAAAAAAATACAAAATGGGATAGTTATTGAGCTTACAAATCGTCATAAAATATGCTTTTGATAGAAATGCATGATGTATACTGAATAACGCGTAAAGGCTGAGACACAATTGAAGTTTTATGTTATAAGTTTTAAGTTTTATGATTTAAGATATAAGTTTTATGAAATGAACACACAGGTCCTTGTGGCGAAAGACAGAATACAAATTTATGAATTAGGAAATAAGTTTCATGTTTTATGACACGGACGTGATGGTTTTTATTAGTTTTTATGATTTAAAATTTAGAAACCCAACCAATCACAGCAATCCTTTTTCACACGGAACTATTTCTGAATTTCTGTGCAGCTGTATGATGCATGCCACATAACCTCAAAACAAAAACATCAAAGATCCATTTTTGAAAAAGTTTTGAAGAAAAACGTTGATTGATGTGTGAAAATAGTATTAAAACATGACACATTTTCATGATTATACGAATTTAGATCATTCGGACATGATTTATAGGGATCCCCTTTCGTGCGCTCCAAGCGATAAAAAAAATTTCGAGAATTGGGTAATTAATTAGCCTGAAATAAGCCTAGAAATTCCAATGTATGGAATCGGAAAAAAATATAATTTTTTCAAAAATGACTGCTGAGTTCGCTCGAAACTAGCAAAGCCACAGGTTTCATTCAACAATATGCAGAAAAAAATCCACCATGGGATAGTTATTGAGCCTACAATCAATACTTAACACTTTGCCTAATAAAATTTTCATAATATATGCTTTTGATAGAAATGCATGATGTATAGTGAATATTGCATATATCGACGAATCGTTTCGTTTCGAATCGGAAAAAGTATAACCTTTTCAAAAATGGCTCTGCTGAGTTCGCCCGAAGCTAACAAAGCCACAGATTTTTCTATGATAGAGAGGTCCAAGAAAATTGGGAATAGGGTAATAAATTAGCCTAAAATCAGCACTACATTTTCACTATGTCAGATCATCAGAAAATATTGTTTTTTCAAAAATGGCTCTGCTGAGTTCGGCCGAAGCTAGCAAAGCCACAGATTTTTCTATGATAGAGAAGAGCAAAAAATTCAGGAATGGGGTAATAAATTAGCCTAAAATTATGAGATGTGTCTCATGTTGAAAATCGGAAGTGGCTGTGCTAGCTTCTTTAGTATCCAGATCTCGTCACTGGTTCTCTCTAAGGCCTCAATCGGCATACTCCTTCGAGAGAACTGAGGGTGTGTAGGTGGTGGAGCGGTATTTATAGTGCTGGATGTGGTGGTCAGTGAATCGGAAATAGGAGCGTGGTTTGTTATGGCGCAGGGTGTGGAAAGGCGGGAAATGAGAGATTTCAAGTGCTAGAAAGTCTGCGGCCGTCGTCGCGAGTATTGAGGCAATCAAAAGTCGCTTCTCTATCTCAAGGGCTTCGCGGATTATCTTTGTATGCAGAGTTCTTCGGTGGCGATTGTTTTGGCGTTTTCTAAATCTACTGAGTGGCCTATTTCCTCGCCTATTTCTTCGTAATGTTTGAAGATTGCCGACGAAGGGTCTTTTCGGACTGCAAGTTGATGTTAGTTAACTCTGCTGGTAACGCGTCTACTTGTTTGGCCAATATATGTTCTTGGGCAAACTAAACAAGGTATTTCATATATGCCTTGAGAATCATTCGATGTTGTGTCCTTGGGGGTACTGAGGAATTTTGAAACTTGGTTGTTGGCCGTGAAAATAGTTTTGATATCATGTTTCCTCTTGATTCTGCTGATTTGGTCGGTTACGCCTTTGATGAATGGCAAGAAAACTTTATGTGACTGAATGTTTTCTGTTGGATGTCTGATTGCGGATGGATCTGTCGATTCGTGAACTGCTGTAATCATTCTGTAGTAAAGCGGATTTGAGTTTGCCCAACTCTTGTGGCCGGTTATGATTATCGCTGAGTTGAATCGATTTGTGGTTGAGGGAATTCAACACAACCAACCAACCAACCAACTCCGTGTTATTTGGGAAAAAAATTCGAATCTAGGAAAGTAGAACAAATCGCTCGAGTTGGAAATTCTGGATCAAATTTTATTGGTCCAGTAAATATGATTGTGTGAATAATCCATGAATATGTTATTCGAATCGGCTTGAGCGTTTTCAAGATATTAATAAAAACATATTTTTCTATCAAACTCGGACACAAAGCATTCTCGGACCCAAGATCATATGAACTTTTTTATAAATTGTTGATAGGAATCTCCTCTTGGCTTTTGTCCCCACAACTCTGAAACACCCTCTATGCATTTACCCCCGATGATTATATGTTTGTGATCTTGATTTTGGGAGGGAGAAGTCATACGCTCTGAAGCAAACTAGCCAGGTTTTATGTGGTATGTATTCTTTTACTTCAGATCGGTGATCAGGTGGTGGCCCTTCCAGAATACAGAGCATGGTCCGAATTGGTTGCAGTGCCTGCCAAGTACGTCTACAAACTACCCAAAAACGTGTCCCATCTAGACGCGGTTACCATAACGATGAATTACACGGTGGCCCATATCTTGCTCTTCGAAATGGCTGGTCTGACCAAAGGGAAGTCAATCCTGGTGCATTCGGTCGGAGGTGGAGTGGTAAGTTGATTAATGGTTTAAATTTATCATTTCAAATACCTAAATGTGACATTGACGTTGCTAGGTATTTGAAGTCAAGCTTCAAGTACCTAGAAACGATGTCTTTATTTACCACCGGTAGGTATGTCCCACAATGTCTCGTAATTCTAACGAATTCAAATGCATTTTTGTTGGTGGCAGAAAATATACTAAGTAGATATGTTTCATTTGGAATAAAAACTCCTATACCAATGAGATACTAAAATTTATGGAAATCTCAATTATTGTTACACCCGCACATTTTTTGAAAAAGTATATGTCGATGGAGAAACAATATGTATCACGAACTATTCAAAAATAAAGAACCTACCGATAAACGAACAAAAAATCATTGAAATTGATTGAGTCTACACCAAATACTAAAATAAGATGATTGGTTACTTTTTGGAGTTGCGTTAACTTCTTGATAGTAATTTTCATCATGGAATGTATATCAAAATTGCAGGGGGCCAGAAGAAACTCAGTTCGAAGTAATGTGAAGATTTATTATTTACATGCCGTGGTAGTGAAGAATAATTATCATTATTATACAAGGACCAAGAATCTATATTCAGTTTAGGAATATAAGATCTCGTGTGATATTCCACTATGAAGGTAGTAATAATAGTTTATAGGTACTTTTGCAATTATAATCAGATTCCATTCAAAATTTGTATCTGGAGGTCCTTGGGGTCCTAGGTTATAATTATTCCGTCAAAATTTGGAAATTCAAGAAGGCTGATTCAATATGGCGGACGAGTTTTGTAATTATGATCCGATTCTATTCAAAATTGGTATCTGTAGGTTTTCGGTGTCGGAGATTATTACTATTTCGTAAAAATTTTGAAATTCAAGATGGCGGATCCAATATGGTGGATGACTTTATCAATTATGATCAGATCCTATCAAAATTGGTAAATGGAGGTTTTCGAGGTCGGAGGTTATGATTCCTTCATCAAAATTAGGAAATTCAAAGTGGCGGATCTAATATGGCGGACAAGTTTTTAAATTACGATCAGATTCTATTCAAAAATGGTATCTGTTGGTTTTCGGACTCGGAGATAATGATTCTTCCATCAAAATTTGGATGGCAGATCTAATATGGCGGACGAGTTTTGTAACTATGATCCATTCAAAATTTGTATCTGGGAGATTTTGGGGTCAGAGATTTATGATTCTTTCATCAAAATTAGGAAATTAAAGATGGAGGATCCAATATGGCGAGAGCTTTGTAATAAATAGTTGTTTAAAGAACTATAATGAAACACGCTTCTATGAATACCCAAACTCGAGGCCAAACTGAATAGAAGTAGAAAATTGATAGTTAAGTTTATAAAGAGATAGATTGTCGAACTAAAAATAAGTAGAAGACAAAATAATGAAAGTGTGGTGATAAATATTCAACTAAAAAAATATGTTCTACAATTGAATGTATATAGGTAGCAAAACAACGTTTGCCGGGTATTGTAATAAATAGTTGTTTGAAAAACTAATAATACACGTTTTTATAGATGGCCAAACTGAAAAGAAGTGAGTAGAAAATAAAGAGTAGTTTTGAAAATTCAAGAAATATAGAGCGACGAACTAAAGAGAAATAGAAAATAAATAGAATATTTTGAAAAACTAGAGAATCCTGCTTTTATGGATAGTCAAACTAAAAAGAAGTAGAAATAAAATTATAAAAGTTTTTTCATAAATATTTATCTAAACAATTTTTTTCTAGAAATAATGTTTATGGCAAATCAACGTTTGCTGGGCCACCTAGTATAATATAATATCTTCTCAATATTGATTCATCCTTTTTCCTGTCACTTAAAAAAATAGTGTATTATACACGGGAAAAATATTAGATTTCAGCTCACGGTTTTTGACAACACAACCTGGAGCTAAAATCTACTACTTTTTTCCTTGTATTATAAATTACTGTGGTTGGTTACCATCGTATTGTTTACCTTAATTGCAATATCTCATCAAAATAATTCATTAACTTTTCGTTTTCGGATCATATCTAAGTGCCCTTGTAATTGCTCCAATAACAACTACACACAGATATTATTAAATTATGATTGTTTTTGTTCGGATTGTTTTGTTATTTTTGTTCATTGGCTTCTGTTGAATGATCACACTAACCTCCTTGACACTGATTATTTTCCAATTATGAAGAAAGAAGATATGACAAGCATTATACAAAGCGATCACAGTTTCATGAATACGAAATATATAACGATTTTTTTGATCAGCACGCACAGGTGAATATTTTTCCGATTGCTTCAACTGTCTAATAGACAGGAAGTTACATTTCACTATCAGACAACTATGTCTTTCTCTGAAGGAAAAGTTGTCACTATATAATAGACATACAAACGATGTGTCACAGATTTAATAGGGATAACCTTAGTGCGCTCCAAATGATAAAAAAAAAATGTTATAAGAGACACTGGCACTGAATATTAGGCAGTGACAGCTTGTTTATATTTTTTATATTTCAGATGTTATAGTTTCAAGTTTCGTTCTGTAAGCCATAGGAAAAACTGTTCCATAAAAAATAATAATCATCACCATATGGTGACTACAAGATTGATTTTCACACTATTGAACTTGTAAGGAGGCATTTCAGGCCAACATCAGACATCTATTGTGGCCATCGGTAACAGTGTTTTATTTGGAAAATTTCCCCATATTATATTAGTTTTATAAAAGAAAGAAAATATTTAATAGTAGTCATGAGCATTGTAGTTTCAATCAAAGAATTATTCGTTTCCTCATCAACTACGAAATTTTCTGTTCACAAATCAGCTCTTACTTGATGCTTGTGAGCATTGTGGCACTGTATAATATTTCTAATGAATAGTTGCAACTCTTCATCAGACCAGGCCCGGGCCCTTAGGAAAATAGGGCCCGGAGGATTCAAGCAACTTCAAGGACCATCTATGGATATTTTTTTGATCAGAAAGGAACAATGAAGTTTTGTAGCTTGGGTCAAATATTAGTGTACTGAATGAATCTCAACACTCTGAATGAACTGAAATCAGGCTGAATAGTTCATCTTCATTTCATAATTTAAAATCCACTGAAATCGAGAGATAAACTATTAAAAACAATAGATTATCGTCCAATAGTCCAGCGTCTATTAAAACTTCGAACTTTATCATAATCAATACCAAAATGGCTCGGAAATGCAGAGATAAACTGGACGAGCTAGCCAAAAGAAATTTTGTCAGCCTCTTTATGTGTTTCAAAATATCCTGGAGTGGACAGTAATGAAGTAATAAACCCGCTAGATAAGAAGCCAAAACATCCTTTGGAGGATCAGGACCCTTTTCTGGATACAGTAGCAGTACCAAATGCCAGACACATGTGTCAGCTTCTGTAAGAAAAAACTCTGCATATCGCCGGGAATCCTAACAATGCATTGCCGACTGGAAGGTTAGGCTTAGAAGATTAGGAAAAATCCAAGTTCTCTGAAGAAGATTATGACACCTCTACACGTCATTACAGAATGTATCGCCTCGTAGAACCTGAGGGCGGTAAACCTAAGAGCATATGTAATAGAAAATGAGGAATTACCCAACCTAAAGCAACCTGATATCCTGAGATTCCTGATGGGAGCAGGGCTAGAAAATAGTACAGGGTGAACAACTAAGAACGGCTGTCGGCCATATCTCAGCAACGAATTATGAAACAAGTTTGAAATAAAATAAATCTAATGGTATGTATATCATTACTTGATGTAATAGAGAAACTAAATCTCAACAGACCAACGAAAACCGCAACGTTATAGCTTTTCGCCAACGGAAGATATTAACTATCAAAGTTTGAAGAATGATAGATCTGACAGCCGTTCTTAGTTGTTCACCGGGTACATTATACATCAAGGGACAGAAATGCAAGATTTTTTCCAAGGTGCGATTTGTAGCTCGAAGGCGAAGCCCGAGAGATACAAAGCACCGAGGGAAAAATAGCATACTGTCCTGAGCTGAATATACTATTTTTCACGCTGGCAAAAACACATAAATTGAGAAATAGTAAAAATGTGGTCAAAGTGTTTTGTCATAATTAGTAGTAGTAAAGTTTGTGGAATTTGTATCTTGACAACATGCATCTTGTTGACAACCCATGGTGACAGCAAATATCGAACTGAAATTTATGAAAACAGCCTTGAAAATGGTTATGGAACAAGACATCGAGGGAAAACCCCAAGAAACTGTTGATACTGCTTCTGCAGTGATTCTCAACTTGCTACCAGTGAGATCTAGAAATCTGTATGATGAAGCTTATATACGCGCTTCAAAGAAGGGTGTTCCGAAAAGGAAGCGCAGAGCTATGCGGAAAATGTAAAGTTGGTATAAACTCCCTAGAGAGAAACCATGTCACATTATCTCCCTAGGGAATAATACGAGACTTCTGCCCCTCTTTTGTTACCAGAGAAACTAACTTCTACTACTCCTGCCGGCGTAAAAAGAAATATGTTCACAGAGAACCTAATAGAGCATATTTAGCAATAGATAATACATGTTGAACTTTCAGTCGGAAGTTGAACGTTTTTCCCAATTGCTAAATGTCATCTGATGACCTTGGAAATCGCCAATAGGTGATGATATAGTATTCCATATATTCCATATAGCAGAGAATATACATCCTCATAATATATGCCTATTTGAAACAATAAAACACAACAGTTGCATATGCCATTTTTAGAAACATATAACATATGATCATGTGATTGTTCTACGATGGTTCTACGCCTTCGTGGTGACCTCGCTAATCCACAAGCTGTGCCCCAGCCGCAGTCGAGAGCGAAAGTCAATGCCGAAAGTTTCTTGGTGGATCCAGTGCCGGCTGGCATATTTCGCCGCCGAAGGTCTTTAACCCCAAGGCCAATTCTTGCTTCCACCCTCCGACTATATGGCGACTCGCCAACAAGACAACAGGTCTTTCGTGTGCGACAGGCGTGGCGTCCTTCTGTCTGGGTCGGTGACGCA